GATCTGTGGGAAGATCGACAGGAGTATCTGTCCCAGTCAGTGTATCCCGTATGGCCCAGCCACGGCATCGGAGGGTGGTACGGACCGTATAGGTAACGGTACTGCCTTTCATCCCAAGTCATCGGTGGCGGCATGCACGATCTTGGGGAACGACTCCTCGACCGAGGACGACGCGGAGAATACGTTGACGGAAGAGCATACGTGCCCCTTCTGCAGTCAAAGGCGTCGATATCAATAGAGTCAGGCGACAGACGGGGAGGCGAACGCTCTGCATTGGATGTTGAGCGTCGATGCCAATGGTCGTCGATGTCGGGAGGCTCTGAGGCGACCGATGCCGATGAGCTGGATGGACCGGGGGAACACTCCGCACCCAACTGGTGACTTACGAGTCCCATTTGGTCAACATCGTACAAGGCTGTCTCCACCTCATGGTCTGGAGAGTCTAGCACAAGTACCGTCGTTTCAGACGCGACCTGGTTCACCGGTATCGATGCCATCGGTGTCGAACCAGTCGGTATCGATGGTGGCGGAAGGGCCGGTGCTGCTGGCACAGAGTCCTTCTTAGCAGGCTTCACCACCTTGGCCACCTTCTGCGTCGCCACTGAGGAGTCCGACTTCCTGGCCTTCTTAGCAGGGGTGGAAGCTGCGGAAGGAACGTTTGGTACATTAGGTTTCGACCTCTCGGTATCGGACACGGACTTAACCTTCGATGTCGACGGCTTCGATGTCGATGCGTCGGCAGCGGAAGACATGACGACGGAGGAAATAACCGGCGGGTCAGCCATCGGTTGAAGCGCCTTCTCCAAAAGAAAAACTTTCAAACGTGCCGCTCTGTTTTTCCGAGTTTGGTTGGAAAACTGCGCACAATGTTCACAAGAGTCCGGCTTGTGGGTCTCTCCAAGACAGAAGATACAGTACTTATGGCCGTCTGGAGGAGCCAATTTACTTCCACAAGTACGACAATGGTTGAAAAATCCCCACTTTTTTGACTTTTTTGTCTTCTTCTTCTCCATAGATTGAGGAGAAAAAGCCAGCGACAAGGGGGGGGGTGGGCCAGCGGCCCGAAGGCCTGAGGCAATTTTACCTCAGACGACAAAAAACAAAAAGTCTCTCTTTTTTTTGTCAAAACACAGAAAGAAAAAGAAACTGAAGAAAAACTGAGGCGAAAAACGAGAGCTAATCACTAAAAAGTTATCAAAAAGCAGCGATCCGGCCAGACCTCTCGAAGAAAGGTCTGCTCAGCGCGGCGGAAAGGAAAGAACTGGCGGGATGTCCGTGCCTGCCCTTCTGGGCATGCTCACTGGGGCTCCTGAGCATGCTCAGTTGGGCCAGGCACGAAAATCCTTGTAAGAGAGCTTGCTAGGCACCGGCAGATCCAGCGCAGGCGCACTAGATCCCATTGGTGTGAAGCACAGAGACCACGAAGAAGATCCATATTTATAATACGAAGTTGGTACTAAGAACCTAAAAGTGAGACCTGAAAAGATTATATTGGGAGGGTGAAGACAGGGCAAGACTGCCTATTGCCTCTACTTGTCTTCTACTCCTTAACCTCAACCCCTCACCCACTCCCAATTACTGACTTTCTAGTTCCAGGTGTCATTCTGGAAGCAGAAAGGTAAACGTGTAAGTTCTGATTCACAGGCATGTGCAGAAGCCATCATCTTCTGTTCACCTGAATTTATATGGTGAAATCTTTTTCATGTAACTTCTCCAATAAGTCTTCAAATGCCTCATTAACCTCCTTATATGTTTTTTTTAAAAAAATAAATTTTATTAAACCACCTCCTTATATGTTTGAAAGCCAAGTAAGATGACTGGTGAAGTCAACTAGTTCAAATGGCAGGTTCCCTGTAAGCAGCTGTCATACCAAAACCTTTTTTTAAATTCAGAGAATTTTTTTTTAAAAAATGTTGTCTGCTGTTTTTTTTAAAGAAAAAAGGTGCTTTAAGAAAATGGGCCAACTGTGAGGGACAGAAGACACATTTCGTACAAATAATTTATTGTCTCCTTGCTGTATTAAGTTTACTTTTGTACATACCTCTTCCTTCTTCTTTGTCATTACAGCAAATACTTTGGTTTGATTGTCTGTATCCTGGGAAAGGCGATAATGGCCAAGCAGGATTGCATCAGTTCTAGAGTTTAGAAGGAAGACAGTTTAAAAGTATTTCTCCCAGACCCAGAATCACATATTATAGCTGCAACACAGAGACAGCTTGATTAATATGTCTCTTAGTTTATTCCTGGTAACCATGACTGTTGATGGTAGAGTGTATATACAATGTTTTGGGCCCAGTTGTTACAACATGCACAATACACACCTTGTATTTTTAGTTCGTAAACGAGGAACAATAGACTGAGGTTCTTCCGGCGTTGTTAACATCATTACTTGGCCATCCGGGAAGAATCTCAGGTACCTACAAAGTTAAACAGTGTTAAACCTTGGAAAAAGGGTTTTTGATTTTCCCCTTGTTCATCCAGAGATTGCTCCCTTAATCACCTACAGAAAGATGCATAAAGATAACATAAACCATAGAGATTCTTTACATTTTCCTATTTAGAAACTGGTATTTTGTTTACTTTATACATAGATGCATGTGTTCTAAGAAGAAAAAAAGGGGCAGGAATCCAACAAGCCCTGTGCTTGGGGCCTATTGGATCTGTATAAGCACTGCAGTGGTGGGCAAACTCATTAGTCAAGAGAGCCAAATATCAACAGTACAACAATTGAAATTTATTTTGAGAGCCAAATTTTTAAAACTTAAACTATATAGGTAGGTACATTGTTATTAACTTAATTAGGGTACTCCTAAACTGGCCTTTGCTAAAAATGTCCTCAATCTGATTGAGGTACGTTCGCTGAGGTCGACCCCTTCCAACTCTCCCATCCACACTCGTCTTGTATACTTGTTTCGTCTCCTTTCGTTCATCCTCTCTATATGTCCAAAGTATCCATAAAATTAAATCATGACAAAATAAATCATGACATACACTAATGTGAACAATGGCCTTGCATCTCCTTGGAAAGTTTGGGTAAGTCAGGTTTGTATGTTGTTGTTTTTAATTTTAGGCACGCACTAGAGAGCATCAATATGTATGGCCTCGCTGGACCAGATTCAAGGTTCTTAGCTAGCAGCTAGCATTCTATTCCCAACTGCAGCCTTCCAGAGGCCTCTGGAAGCTCAAAGAGCTGTTTGCCCTCCCCCATTCTCTCAACAGCATTTATTTTTAAGAGGTTCAGTGTCCCTGAATGCAAGCTTGATTGTTCACAATATATTTCATCTCTACGGGTCCCCCCCCCAAACTTCCCACCCACATCTTGTGGCAGTGGCTTTCACAAGTTAATTGGGCGGGGGGGGCAGGTTTCAGAGGCCCGCAACAGTCATCCTTCCTACCCAGCTCAGCTATTTCAAGCACGCAACACCGAAAGCAGAGTCGACAAAAAGTGGCCACTCAAAGTTCCCTCTAAGCTGAGTTA